AATTCTCCTACCTTGGCCTCCCAAAGTGCTGGGATTACTGTGCCCAGCCTGAGACTTCCCCAAAACTCTGTTCTCTCATGTAATAAATCATTCCGTCCCAAACAGTTGTTTTCGTATTGCCGTGCAAAGGTTATTAGTATAATGATGAAATTTAATATTACATTAATTTAGTTGTGAATTATTTGTATTGTCACAGTCATTAACTCGGTGATTGCAATTTTGTTTTAATTTAATTTAGCTCTTTGTGCATTCTCTCAAAACTTTCAGCAATATAACCCAGAACTGTGTAATGTAATGTTGCAGTCATGGTAATGTGACCTGGGTTATGGATCAGGCAAACAACAGAAGGTTCCAGTACTCACCTCCCTGGCTTCACTCAGCCCCCAAGACCTCACTACCCTGGACCTTTGCCATGGGTAGAAAAAGGTTTCTGAATCAGGTTGTCCATCAGGGAAGCAAAGCAGATGGAGTGGAGGGGGTGCCCTTTGTGGGAGAGGAGTTATCCTGAATTAAGCAATCAGACATCAGGTGCTCTACTAGATATGTTTCTCAGACCCCATTTTACAGATGAGAAAACTAAGGCTCAGAGAGCTTCAGCAACTTGCCTAGATAAGGAAAGCACAGAAGTGGGAGAGTGGAAATTTTGTGTCTGACTCCAAAACCCTTTTCCTTCCACTGACCAGATTGCTTCATGGACCTGACTGCTGGCAGAGACCTGGCCTCGCCATAGGCTGGCCCCGCAGCAGCCACCCCCTAGAACAGAAAAAACAGCAAAGACAGCAGGTGCAGACAGGTAAAAGCCAGGTAGGACCAACACTCACCCCACTCCCACACAGGCAGCTCAGTTCTCTGGCCCCATTTCAGCCCCCTGTAGACCCTGAGGGCCTCAAGGACAAGAACTGGGTCAGCTCACCTCTGCCCCACACAGAGCTCAGGTCAGCATCCTGCACATCGCAGAGGCCTCAAAGAGCAGAGGAAAAGCAGCACGGTTTGGAATGAAGCAAGGACCAGCCCCTAGCAGCACTTGGTTTTGGCACATAGGGCAGAGAGCCTGGATATGTAATGTAGGTCTTCTTTCTTCTCTCTCGCCAGCTCACATCATGACCCTAGCCCTGGTCTAGGCTGCAAAGGCTGGAGAAAAGCTCACGTGACTTGAATTCATCTGGCTTTTCAGCACCGGGCTTCACAATCTTTGCACTTGAACTGAACATGACCTTTTGCTTACTGAGCTACTGATGGTTGAAGCCAGCCGGCTGTCCTCCAAGAGGCCTCCCAGGCAGCATTTACCTGTCAGCTGATGCAACTTAGAAACCTCACTGCCATGCCGGAACAAGCACACATAGGAGCTTGCAAGGAAGACTCACATTAGCCAAGTTTACATGGCTGATGTATAAACCAGGAGCCATTTTTTTTCATTAATAATGAGCAACTGAGCTGTGACAAGGATTGGACTACTTTCTCCCAGAGATGCAGTCCTCCCTTCATCTGCCACCCCAGGCCTCTTTCTGGGCAGAGTCATAAAGCCCTGGGGTGTCCCAAGGTGCCAGGCACAGTGCTGTCACCTGGCCCCCACATGGGTCTCTTCTTCCACTCCCTGCAATGGTGTGGGCTGTCCTGACCCTTCATGATGCTAAAGCTCAGGCTACATCTCTTGTCCCTGCTGCCAAGGGACACGGCCCCTTCCCTTTTCACTTCTCTTTCATTGAAGTCCCTCGCACTGGACCTTTGGGAAGATCCAAGTATAAGAAATGGGCTGAGCTCAGAAACCCCCTTCCTTCAACATGTTACCATTGATTCCACATCTGAAACGTTCCTCTGGCTGGGCACTGTGGCTGGAGCCTATAATCCCATCACTTCGGGAGGCCAAGGGGAGGCAGGAGGATCACTTGAGCCTGGTTGTTCAAGACCAGCCTGGCAGCATAGCGAAACCCTGTCTCTGCCAAAAAATACAAAAGGTAGCTGGGTGTGGTGGCGTGGGCCTGTAATCCCAGGTACTCAGGAGGCTGAGGTAGGAGGACGGCTTGAGTCCAGGAGGTAGAAGTTACAGTGAGCTGAGGTTGCAGCACTGCACTCCCGCCTAGGTGACAGAGTGAGACCCTGTCCCAATCAGTCAATCAATCAAGCAAGCAGTCCTTCACATGCTGTCAAAGCTCAATAAATAGGGAATGAAGGAATAATGAACATGGCCTAGCTTTCGCACCTCTGTTCTCTCTTTCTGCAAGTGAGAACTTTCCCAGGAGGCAAACAAACCCTGGTGTGCTGTTCCCAGCTCCCCAGATGACTGGAGACACCACTGGGCCCCCACTGAGGACCCCACTGCCCAGGCCTGCCCCTTCCCCTGCTCACAGCATTCAGTGAGTGCCCTGATAGGCCTAACAGGCCTGGGAGCTGTTTCTTCTTTAAGACTGTAGATATCTCTGATCCATTATAGCAAGCTTGTCCAACCCATAGCCCAGAATGGCTTTGAATGCGGCCCAACACCAATTTACAAACTTTCTTAAAACATTATGAGTTTGTGATTTTTCAGTTTTTAGCTCATCAGCTATCATTAGTGTTATCGTATTTTATGTATGACACAAGCCAATTCTTCTTCCAATGTGGCCAAGGAAAGCCAAAAGACTGGACACCCCTGCCTTATAGGCTAACTGAAAAGTGAGCTCTGAGAGCAGTTAGAGCTCCAAGGTCTAGAGGGGCTTACTGGGGTGCCAGCAGGGTTCTTCCTGTAGACTCGGGCAGACTCAGGCCAGAGAAACCCAGTCCTCAGGAGAGCAGTGTGGGCTGGCGGGCTCTGGAGTCAGACATCCCGCTCTGGAAGATGGCCTGACTGGCTGTGCACCCAGTGCACAAGCTCTTTGGGCGGTAGCCTCCTTATCCTTAAAGGAGAACCAATGTTGTTGTGAGAATTTGATGGTACAATTTCACCTCGCTGGGGGCACAGTGGAGCCAGGTAACCCTGACTCAGCGCTGCTTTCCAGTGAGGGGACGCAGCTCTGGGCGAACGCTTTGCCACTGTTCTGCAGGAAATCCGAGCTGGAGAGCGCTGGAAGCGGAGGGCCGGTGTCTCCCAGATCAGGCCCAGTGGCTCATGGGTCTGCAGCTGATGATGATCAAATGAAGATCAGAGGCATTTAGGCAGAAAGGAGGCATTCTGGACTGGAACAGAAGAGGGGAAGGAATCAGAGGATGGAGGAGAGACCCAGAACGCCTCAGTAATGCGGAGTGGGAGACCAGATACCCACCCCACCCCTCATGTCACAGTAACGAAGCCAGGGCCTGGCAGTGCGGCCAGAGCTGGGGACACACCCAGCTCGGTCTAATTCCAGGCCCATGTCCCCTCCACTCCTCCCTCCGGGCCGCCCCGTGGCTCACCAGCTAGACGGATGAATGAGCAGGGTACCTTCTGTCCGCAGCAGAAGGGCACAGAGAGAAAACTCAGAGGAGGGAGTCTCATGTAGCCAGGTGGAAATTAACAATAATACTCAGATGTACAAAATACTTATTTATTTCTCTGCAATTTATCTAATCATTTTCACAAGACTCCATGAATGTAAACTTGCTAATTAAAGAAACCCCATTAGGCTCTGAATCAAGACTAGTGTTTTGCTGTAGCTGTTGGTTTCAAGCAGGATCCAAGAGTGATGTCTTCCTTGTGGTCTGTTCGCTGCTCAGTATCCCAGTGTGAGTGGCCAATTCAGTTGGAAGCAACATGGTCTTGAATATAAAGCCATTGTTTTTTTTACAGAGCAATTTAACTATGTTAGGCTTAAGAATTAGGAACTTACAGGCCGGGCACAGTGGCTCGCACCTGTAATCCCAGCACTTCGGGAGGCTGAGGCAGGCTGATCACCTGAGGTTGGGAGTTGAAGATCAGCCTGGCCAACATGGAGAAACCCCGTCTCTACTAAAAATACAAAATTAGCCGGGCATGGTGGCACACGCCTGTAATCCAGCTACTCGGGAGGCTGAGGCAGGAGAATCGCTTGAACCCGGGAGGCAGAGGTTGCCGTGAGCCAAGATCAAGCCATAGCACTCCAGCCTGAGCAACAAGAGTAAAACTCAGTCTCAAAAAAAAAAAAAAGAATCAGGGACTTACTCTGTGGAGATAGAGACTTAACCAAAATAATATTTATTAGCCACTCAGAGGAACTTGGTCCTCCTTTCTTCCCACCTCCTCCCTTCCCCCCTCTCAAGATCACTTGCTTGCTTTGTGACTGTTAGGATATTGACCAAGCAATCTCATACTGCCTGGCAATTTTTTTTTTTTTTGGAGTCTCGCTCTGTCACCCAGGCTGCAGTGCGGTGATGCCATGTGGGTTCACTGCAACCTCTGCGTGCCCATCCCCCACCCCTGCCACCACCCACCAGGTTCAAGCGAATCTCCTGCCTCAGCCTCCCAAGTAGCTGGGACTACAGATGTATGCCACCACACCCAGCTAATTTTTGTATTTTTTTAGTAGAGGCGAGGTCTCACTATGTTGGCCAGGCTAGTCTAGAACTCCTGACCTCAAGTGATCTGCCTGCCTAGGACTCCCAAAGTGCTGGGATTACAGGCGTGAGCCACCATGCCCAGCCTGCCTGGCAATATTTAATTTTAATTCATATTATTGGTCCATACTTCAGTTCATCACTGGGGAACTTAGGTGTTGACTACAGCTAACTAACCCCAGAGGGAATATGCTTTTTTAAAAATACTCTTTAACTGTGGTAAAACACAGGTAACCCAATTTACTGTTTTTACCATTTTTAAGTGTGCCATTCAATGGTATTACGAATATTCACAATGTTGGGCAACCATCAACACTTTCTTTTCCAGAACTTTTCCACCAGCCAAACAGAAACTCTACCTGTTCAAGAGCACCACTCGCTTCTCCCCTTCCCAGTCCCTGCTATTCTGCTGTCCTATTTTCCATCTCTATACAGTTTCCTGGGAATTTGCTTTTTTAAGCCACTATACCGGTCTGTGTTTTATACTTGGCAGCAAGAAAAAGTTCTCAGTGCTTTTGGGTCTTGTCTTATTTGTTGGACATTCTGGTAAAATCATTTTTGGATTAAAGGTAGGCAAGGGGTGAGGAAGGGAACAGAGAATCGCTGTGAGGCTTGCTGAGAACTATGCCAACCTTAGCTTACGGTTTCCCTTGGTATTGCTCATGGCTTTTCCTCTTTTTTCCCTAGAAAAGAAAAAAAAAGAAACCTCAGCCCATGAGGCCTTGTATAATAGCTTGACACAGCAGAGGAGCTGGTGGGTCCTCCCTCTCCTCCCAGAAACCGGCTCAAAGAGAATAGAAAAATAAGCCCCAATCTCCAACCTCATACCATATACAAAACTTAACTAAAAATGCAGCATAGACCTAAATGTAAAACTACGAAGTACCTAGAAGAAAACATCTTTGTATCGTAGAGTCGAAAGAGATCTTTTTTTGGAGACAGGGCCTCACTCTGTTACCCAGGCTGGAGTGCAGTGGCACGAACTTGGCTCACTGCAACCTCTGCCTCCTGGGTTCAAGTGATTCTCCTTCCTCAGCCTCCTGAGTAGCTGGGACTACAGGCGCATGCCAGCACACCCGGCTAATTTTTGTATTTTTAGTAGAGACAGGATTTCGCCATGTTGGCTAGGCTGGTCTCAAACTCATGACCTCAAGTGATTCACCTACTTCAGCCTCCCAAAGTGCTGGGATTACAGGCGTGAGCCACTGTGCCCGGTCCTTTGATCCCTTCATTCATCAATACCTACATTGTTTCCAAATCGTGGCTAATGTGAATAATGCTGCAATTCACGAGGTGGTGATATCATTTCCTTTGGTCAGTCATATGGTAGTTCTATTTTTTTATTTATTTAGAAACCTCCATACTGCTTTCCATAATGGCTGTACCAATCGACACCCCCACCAACGGTGTCCAAGAGTTCCCTTTTCACCACAGGGAAAGATTTCTTAAGAATAGTACACAGGGACCAGGTGTGGTGGCTCTTGCCTGGAAACCCAGCACTTTGGGAGGCTAAGGCAGGCGAATCACCTGAGGTGAAGAGTTCCAGACCAGCCTGGCCAACACAGTGAAACCGAGTCTCTACTAAAAATGCAAAAATTAACCACGCATGCTTGCGGGCGCCTGTAATCCCACCTACTTGGGAGGCTGAGGCGGGAGAATTGCTTGAACCTGGGAAGCTGAAGCTGCAGTGAGCCAAGATCGCACCACTGCACTCCAGCCTGGGTGACAGAGCAAGACTCTGTCTCAAAAAATAAAAAGTTAAGCTGGGCATGGTGGATCACGCCTGTAATCCCAGCACTTTGAGAGGCCAAGGTGGGCGGATCACGAGGTCAGGAGATCGAGACCATCCTGGCTAACACGGTGAAACCTCGTCTCTACTAAAAATATAAAAAAAATTAGCCGTGCGTGGCGGCAGGCACCTGTAGTACCAGCTACTTGGGAGGCAGTCCCAGCTACTCGGGAGGCTGAGGCAGGAGAATTGCGTGAAGCCGGGAGGCGGAGCTTGCAGTGAGCCGAGATCGTGCCACTGTACTCGAACCTGGGTGACACAGCGAGACTCCGTCTCAAAAATAAAATAAAATAAAATAAATAAATAAAAATTAATAAATTAAAAATAAAAAAAGAATAGTACACAGAAAACATAAACTATTAAAAAAAACAGTAAATTGGACTTCATAAAAATTAAAAGTCTTTTAGTTTTCAAAAGACACTGAATAAAATGAAAAAGAGGGGCACAGACTGGAGAAAATATTTACAAGTCATATATCTGATAAAAGACATGTAGCTAGAATAAAGAGCTGTTATAACCTAATATATAACACAACTCGGTATTTTAAAATGGGCAAAGGATTTGGACAATTCACCAAAGATGGTGTACATATAAAAAATAAGTACATTAAAAAAGGCTCATGCCATTTGTTATTGGTGAAATGTACATGAAAACCCCAAGGCTATAAACTAGGCATGCACTTGGAGGACTAAAATGTAAAAGATGGGCCATGCCAAGTGTTGGCAAGGGTATGAAGCAACTGGGACTCTTGTTGCTCTCATGTGCTCAGAGGCATGTAAAGCGGTGTGGTCACTTTGAAGAGCAGTTTGGTCACTTCTTAAAAAGTGAAACCTACTATGTGACCCAGTCATTCTGTTCCTATGCATTTATTCAACAGGAATGGGGCCAGGTGTGGTGGCTCACGCCTGTAATCCCAGCACTTTCGGAGGCCAAGGCAAGCAGATCACGAGGTCAGGAGTTCGAGACCAGCCTGGCCATCATAGTGAAACCCCATCTCTACTACAAATACAAAAAAAATTAGCTGGCATGGTGGTAAGCACCTGTAGTCCCAGATACTTGGAAGGCTGAAGCAGGAGAATCGCTTGAACCCGGGAGGCGGAGGTGGCAGTGAGCCAAGATCGCACCACTGCACTCCAGCCTGGGCGACAGAGCAAGACTCTGTCAAAAAAAGAAAAAAGGAGGAATCAAAGAGGAATCAAAGCTAGTGTCCAAAAGAGACTTCTACGTGGAGACTGACAGCAACTTGATTCATCACAGCCAAAAGCAGGAAACAGCCCCAATGTCTATCACCAGGTGAATGGATGAATAAATATGGCACAGCCATACAATGCAATGCAATACTGCAATAAGAAGGAATGAACCACTGTTATATACAACTGATGGACTTCAAAATAATTATGCTAGGCCGGGCATGGTGGCTCATGCCTGTAATCTCAGCACTTTGGGAGGCCAAGGTGGGTGGATCACCTGAGGTCAGGGGTTTGAGACCAGCCTGGCCAACATGGTGAAACCCCATCTCTACTAAAAATAGAAAAAATTAGTCCGGCGTGGTAGCGGGCACCTATAGTCCCAGTTACTCGGGAGGCTGAGGCAGGAGAGTTGCTTGAACCCAGGAGGCGGAGGTTGCAGTGAGCTGAGATCACGCCATTGTACTTTAGCCTGGGCGACAAGAGCAAAACTCCATTTCAAAAGAAAAAAAAATATATGCTAAGTGAGAGAAACCACATCAAAAAAAAAAAATACTGTAGGATTCTATTTACATAAAACTCTAGAAAATGAAAACTCTAACGATGGAAAGCAGGTCAGAGTTTGTCTGAGAATGGGAGTGGAGGTAAGAAACAGCACGAGGAAGCTGTGGAGGGTGACAGGATATCCAGTGGCTGGTGGTCGTGACAGTTGCATGGGTGTATACGTATGTCAGAACTTACTAATAATACAATCAATAGGTGCAGTTTATTGTATGTCAATTATACACGAATAAAGCTGGAAAAAAGAAAAGAAATCATTCCACAGTAACAAGGACAAAGAGAAACAAAATGCAAACGTCATCTTTTTTTTTTTTTGAGGCGGAGTCTCGCTGTGCCGCCAGGCTGGAGTGCAGTGGCGCGATCTCGGCTCACTGCAACCTCTGCCTCCCGGGTTCAAGCAATTGTCCTGCCTCAGCCTCCCCAGTAGCTGCAATTACAGGCACGCGCCACCACACCCAGATAATTTTTGTGTTTTTAGTAGAGACGGGGTTTCACCATGTTGGCTAGACTGCTCTCGAACTCCTGGGCTAAAGCAATCCACCTGCCTTGTCCTCTGAAAGTGCTGGGATTACAGGCATGAGCCACCACACCTGGCTAAACTCCATTTCCAGTGAAAACAGAAGAGAGATGAAACCCAAACTAGAAACGAGTCAGAGGGTTGCCCAGGGCAGGAAATACCATACAGATGTTTGGGAAGAAGCTGTGAGAAGGGATCACACTGCCCACCAACCAATGTCCCTTATCTGCACGAGCAGGCGTGGGGCCTGTGATCTCATGACAGCGGCATTTGAGATACAGGTAAGCCTGGAACCAAGAAGCAGAAGCAGCAGATCAGACACAGACAAGCCACACTTGCAGGCAACAAAGAGGACTCACCAGACTGCCCGTGAGCAGCCCTACAACTGCACATGGCACTGGATGTAGGGAAAGTCCTCGCTTCTTCTCCCACACAAACCTCTGGCAAATAGACGGTTGAAGAAAAACTCACCTTGCCCAAAGATGAAAAACAAAAAAGCAAAGAGCGCGGCATCTACAGGAAGACACCGTAAGAATTAAAAAATAAAAACGAGAAAAGGAACAGGAAAAACAAGTGGCAAGTGAAAACTCACGAGTAAAAACATTGCCATAGAACAGATTAAATTGCCAGCAAACTTTTCGCTGTAAATTAAACAACAAAAAAAATTAATAAAGCAGGGCTGGGCGCGGTGGCTCACACCTGTAATCCCAGCACGTTGGGAGGCTGAAGCAGGCGGATCACCTGAGGTCAGGAGTTCGAGACCAGCCTAGCCAACATGGCAAAACATCATCTCTACTAAAAATACCAAAATTAGCTGGGCGTGGTGGCACAAGCCTATAATCCCAGCTACTTGGGAGGCTGAGGCAGGAAAATCACTTGATCCCAGGAGGCGGAGTTCCAGTGATCTGAGATCCCACCACTGTACTCCAGCCAGAGCAACAGAGTAAGACTCCAGCTCAAAAAAAAAAAAAAAAAGAAATTAATACAGCAATCATCTCCAGAAAGCAAGCACACAAAACAGATACGAGAGCTCAGGGGGAACATGAAACCGGAGCTGACAGAACTGGAGAAAGAAGGAAAAACATCACATCTTTAAAGTCATGACGAAATGGAAAGCTGTGCAGAGGAGCATCAAATATTGCTCAAAACACAATCAAGACACTGAGAACAAGACTGAGAAAAGTGAGCAAAAGGAAATGAAAATGGACGGTGTAAAGAGATTACAGAGAAAATTACAGATTTGGAAGATCTGCAAAGGACCCATCATATATCCCAGAATAGAAAACTGAAATAAGGGAACATAAATATTTAAAGATATCATTCAAGAAAATTTTCCTGAAATAAAAGAAGATAAATCTACAAACCAAAAGGGCACACTATGTCTTGGGGAAAATGACAAAAATCTGTCAATAACAAGGTAATTTCTATGAAAGTAACTAGACATAAAATATAAAAGAAAGGGGGAAGAAGCTAACTAGAAAAGACTTTGGACAGTCAAGTGAAAACGTCAATTCATAAAGGGTAACAAAATAGAAGTTAGACTCAGACTTTCCCACAATGACATTTGACTCTAGAGACAGAAGTGATGCCTGCGAAGTTCTCAAGGAAAGAAAGTGTGGTCTAAGAATT